TATATATATATTTAATGCATATCGTACACAACTACTCCCAGCTAGTCACCACGGACCCTTAAAGTCCACCCCAGAGGACAATAGCGACAACTAACAATTAAAAGCTGAAGCCCAGACTGCAGCTGCTGCCGGTGCTCATAATACCCGCTGTTAGGGCAAGCAAATAAATGCTTGGTGTCAATTCAAGTTAAGTGTGTGCGTGTGCGTCAGTTGAGCTTAAACACGTGCTTAAAGCCAACATGCATATATGCATACAAAGGCGCCCACACAGACACACACCCACACTCACCTTGTTAAGTTTTCTGTTTTGGTTATTGTTTCGCTTTTCGCTCGGGCCACGCTGCGTATGCGTAACAATAACGTGACCCAAATATAGAAGCGGCATCTGCCGAAACTATATAAGACTACTACTACTACTACAATATTTAGTTTCTACTATATTTAGCCCAGCATTGTGGCCATCTTAAGTGGCATTAAATGCCACTGATAGCCTTTTGGGCCACAGGCGAAGATTTCACTTCAACAACAATATCTTGAGACCATCATCCATTCATCCATTGGCCTGCCACTCCCACTCACCCTCCCGTTGCGCACGTGTGGCATTTGACATGTATGTCGCTCGCTGGCCCCATTGTAAGGCATAATCTTGGGCTTTAAGCAGTGGAACCTTTTCGGTTTGATTTTCCATTTCGAAATTAATAAATGCGGCTAAGAAGCCTTTTGAGGCTGCGGCATTCTCTGACTGCCACACACTACTCACTGCCTGTGGCAGCTTTCACCTTTGTATCGCTGTGCCCGCTGGCTGGGGCTTTGTCACTTACCTCCTTTGGATGCACTAAATGTGCGCAGGCGATCCACATCCTCGTCGTCGTCGTTCACTCTCAGGTGATGCATGTTCATTGTGGGCACGTCCAGAAAGGCGTTCGATTTTCTATGCCCTGCAAAAAAAAGAAAAGGAAAATCATGATATTAATTTAATTTCTCTCTCTCTCTCTCTCACTTGCTGTCGCTCTGTCTAGCACTTTAAATTGCATTACAATCAACGATGGCGTAATTTATGCAAGCAGCAAGCGTTGCGGTTTCTTAAGCTTCAATTGCGCCCAAGTGGAAACAGAGTTGGGTTTTCCTTCACCTCAAGACTTGTATTTGAATAAGTTGGCAAGGCATACAATGGAATACCGTTGCATGGTAAATTTTGTAAATTTAAATAAATATTCGATTGGATTGGTTGAACGAAAAATAGATGCTTAAATATTTTGATTACAGTTTTTTTCAGTTTGGAGAATTTAATTGATTTATGAGTAATCCAACTAGTTTCAGGCTATCTGATTTACATTATTATGGATCTAACTGTAGATAATTTACATGCCAAATTGATGGATCAGAATGTAGATCCAAACTGATATGAACTGATTTTATAAAAATTCAATAGGAATAGGGCTGCTTTCTATAGACCTCAAGATAAAATATGTATTATTATCTGGCTATATTAAATAAAGTTGATAAATGCTTGCACTAGGAGTTAAAAATACTATGATTTGATTAATCAACTTATTATTATTTCTGATATATACATATATATCATATACATATATCTCACATAGTCTCAGCACAGAAATCTTACGAAATCTTTATGGACTTATTTAACTTGTGTAGAATCACCCACCTAAGAAAAATTTACACAACACACTATGTATATAGCCATATGCCGTATACAACCATATATTCCATATGTGTGAGCAACAGAGATCTATGCTGAACTGATCGTTGCTCCGAAGAGCGATGCCTTATATTTAAAATTCGAATCCGATTGGAGCAGTTTTCTTACAAATAAACATCCCTTTTGCTAAAAATACTTTTTTTTTTTCTCAATTGCTGTGGTCTCCCACGGTGGGTAATTGGAGCACAGGGCACAAGTGTATTTCGGATGTTTGTATACTCAATCATTGGGGATGGTCGGAAATTCCATGCTTGCATACTATATATGCTATATATAACATCTATACCAAATATACTATATTTGTATAAATAAAATATAAACTAAATACTGTTTATTATTTTCCCTTGATTTATTTTATATCTTTTCACGCAGCTCTTATCGAAGTTATCCAATTGCTCGAGTTACATCACGCTTCAATACCAATTATATTTAGTTATCAAAGGTCTCTACGAACACAAGCTTAAAATAATACATTTCTTGCCCGTTCGTTTGGCTTTTCACTTTTTTCTCCATTTTTCCTTCATAGTCCGGAAATGTCAAGTTATTCTACATTTTTTTTTTTTTTTTTTCACCCTAGACGACTTGTTTGTTGTTTGCTGCCTGAAACAGATTTCTACAAAGGCAGCAGTAGCAGCAGCAGGAGGCAAAAAGGAGGGCGTTAACATAAGTACATTTTGTGTTTTATACAATTGGATGGACTGCAGAAAGTGGGTCAATGGTTAAGTTCAATGATCGTCCAGTGCTGAATGGCTCGACAGGGCGTTAATTAACTCAACTTTATACGAATGAGAATCTATTATAGGGAGAGAGAGAGAGAGAGAGAGCTGTAGCCACTGAATGTTCTTTAAAGTGAATCAAATGTTGTACAGAGACTTAAGTGCGCTCAGCTGTAATAAATAAACACCCGAAACTTGTTTGTCGCTAGCTCCAGCTGGTGCTGCTGGCGGTAAAGCATTTTTATGACCAACATTTAGTTTGGTCTATTTGGCTAATACGCTGAGCTGCATTTAATGTCGCCGTTCAACAACTTGTCTAATTTGTTGCTAGCTCTGCCGCACTTTTTGATAGCCCCTGCGGGTCATTAAGGGTACTCCCACCCCGCCCAACCACTTACACTTACCGTGTGGTTGCGGTCGTCGCTGTGAGAGTTTGCGACGCTGCGGAGGCGTCTCCGTTTCGCTCAGTCGAGGCTCGCTGGTGCAATAGGAGCGCGTATCCTGCAGCGTATTTTGTTGTTGCTGCTGCTGTGCCTGAGTGCGTCGACGTACCTGTTGAAGCAGAAAGAGAGAGAGAGATTGAGTTTTAATAGAAAGCAAAAATAAATTGCCATCGCCTAGATCGGCAATTGTAAATCAGTAAAAATATATTCACTTATCTATAAAAAAGAGAAACTTTACAGTCAAAGACTTTCGACATTAAAGTCTCTCAATTTCAATCAAGTTCAGTTTGGTCTAACTTAGTGTCAGATGGTTAGGAAAAGTTTGTGAAAAAAGAAGTTGGCAAACACTTTCTTACAGTTGATTTGCTCCTGAAGTAATTCGTATCGTATCAACTAAGTTTTTTATAGGCACTAGTTGACATGTGTCTTCGTAAAGAGTTTTAACTTTTTAAGCCCTCATTATTCTTACACCTATTCACTTTGCTTGAGGGGAGAAAAAAAAAAAAAAACATAAATATATATATAACCCCCACATGAACTGGTTGCCTATATCTGCTTACAAATAAATATCCTTAATTGCGATATCTGTTATTCCGCTGGGAGACTTAGACTTACGGCTCAAATGGCTGCAGACTTCTGGGTATTGAACACAATTAGTCTAACAGCGTTAATTCGTGAGATTAAGTGTTTGTCACCTTAGCTTAACTAATTGTTTAGCTAGTCGAAGGAATTACAAGAGATGCCTCCGATTCCAAGAAGTATATGTATTTTCTATTCCTGGCTAAACTGGCAAGTGTTTATGCCACTTAAGCGAAGAAAAAATAATGTATATATACTTTCTGGCAGCCGCATTTAAGTTAAGCTTAAGGCTAAAGTGTCATATACTTAATACCCAAAAAAAAAAGAGAGTGTGCTATATATACATGAACCTACGGTAAAACTGTAAAACTGCGTATACTTAATGTGTGTGTCAGACAAAACAAAGATTTCTTGGTATCAATTGACGAGCTTACTTTTTGTACATATTTTATGGCAATACAAACATACTCTTCTATTCTACCCACAACAAGTCAAGCTTAAGGTGACGTATACTTAATATTTGTATAAACAGAGAGAGGTAGCTTGCATCACGCCGACGCAGTCAGAGCAACATTGCAGCCTGTTCACACTGTTGAATAAGATATACATATACTTCGTCAAATGAAAGCTATCTCATTCAATTATGCGAGCTTCGTAATTAGCTGAGCTTAAAACCAAAGTGGCGTATACTTAATCTGTGTGTAGTACAAAACAAAGTGTGCTTGGTAGCCACTTTTATGGAATCACAGACAACGTCTTTTTCTGTCCTTCACAGTAATTAGTGTAGCTCAAGCTTAAAGTGATTTATGCTTAATCTGGGCCAGGCTTAGCCAGCATCTCAACCTGTTCATAGCCATGAAATTAGAGACATCTCGTTCTCTGCAATGAGGCTCGTAACTAGCTAAGCTTAAGGCCAAAGTGGCGTATGCTTAATCTTTCGCTTTTAACCCATCATCCAGTGCAATCAATCAATCAGCTGCAACGGCAACTGCACGATGCAGAATCACCAGGCAGAAGGCAATGGCTATATCGAAGGCTATCTCTGATTTATGCACTGGCGCAGCAATAGAAGCAATAGAAGTAAAATTAAATTGCAAAACGTCGAACACAAATCAAATTGCATTTGTTTGTTTGTCACGCAAGCAGAGCACGTGCCACGCCTTTCTTTACCGTCCCCCAGCTATTCGAAATTTATGGACTGTTCCAAGACTTGGCACAGCATCAAGGCGACAGCTCTGACTGATTAACGCCAAGCGCAATGCTTGGATAGCGGTTGAGTGGTTGGGTGGTTGGGTGGCTGGCCAAGTGTCAAGGGTGTTGCACCACTCATTCATTCCGTGGCTTGTTGGTGCATTTTCCTTTTCTTTTTTTTTTTCTTTCGAAATGGCAATCAACATTGCGTTTGTTTCAAATGCACGTCCTGTGGCTAACCTAATCCCAGTTTGTAGCAACTGCAGCGTGTTGACAGCGGCAACGGCAACGGCAGCAGCCACGGCAACGGCAACGAAAACTCATTTAGCCACCTGTCTATGCAGCCCGCTATGCACCACTAACCACCAGCCCCACCTGACGCAGCCAGACGCAGGCTTCATTTAGCAGCGTTCAAAAACTTTAGCCAACGTGTGAGTGTGAATGTTGTTCGCTCGGAACTTTGTTAGCTTGTGCCACGCCTCTTCCGCCTTACGCCTCTGCTAATAGTTGGACGAGACTCTTAGCTGAGCTCACTTTGTGGCTTACACACGCTGCGCCAGCCGGATGCGTTGCTTACGTGCTGGCATCAGCCGTCAAGTGTCTGCGGATTTGGGCCATGCTGAGAGCTGGCTGACTGGCTGGCTGGCTGGCTGGCGGCCATTAGCCAAGTTCTCTCGTGTTTATTTAGTGGCCAATGCCAGGCGCCTTTTTATGACCAAGCCCAACTCTAACAATTTATCGCGTGACCCGTAATTGCGGCTCTTGTGCCATATTTTGCCAGCCTTTTCTATTTTTTCTTTCTGTTCCGAATTAATCACATAATATTGCACGGGCACAGCTCTATATGTCTGTATATATTTAGTTTGCTTTATTCATTGGTGTCACTGCCGGATGCAGCGTGTCTTCACTTAGCTCAACTGCTGCTAAGGCCAAAATTAATTATATCCGGCCTTTGGCTGCCTTTGGGTGCGTTTGATCCGGGCCAACCCAGTGGCTGCGGCTCATCAGCTCGATGCGGCGGGACATGTCCTTTTTGCCTGCTCCGCCAATTTGTATCTGCTTAATACCCAATTAGTGCTTGGGGCCTAGAGCTTCTGGCTGTTAATTTATTTCATTTGTGCAGCTTTGTGCACATATAAATTTGTCGTGTGTCAAGTGCTTTTGTTTGTCTTTATAAATTATAATTGACATGTGCGTTAATGCATCATAAATGCTCTCTTTTATTTGGTATTTATATATTTAATATTTTATCAAGTATTGTATTCATAAAGTTTCGAAAATACTCTAAAAATAAATAAATATGAATAAAAAACAATATAATAAAATAAGCAAATAGATAAATTTAGAAAATAATTATATCAATACCTTTTTAATAAGCTACAATAAAATAAAAACAAGTAAGAAGGCTCCAGTCGAGACTGCTCGACTAGGAGATACCCTGAACCCTCCAAGCTGATATTCTAATCATTCTGCACTTCTTTTATGCACACATACATACACATGCTTCCACACGCACGCATAAGCCTGCGCTCTGCTAACTGCGCAGTAAGCAGCGACTGCGCTTGGGCTGCGCTGCAGTGTGGGCAATATTATGAGAATTTATTTGTTGAATAANCGGACGGACGGACGGACGGACGGACGGACGGACGGACGGACGGACGGACGGACGGACGGACGGACAGACGGACAGGGCTATATCGACTCAGCTCGTCACGCTGATCAAGAATATATATACTTTGTGGGGTCTGCCACGCCTCCTTCTGCCCGTTACATACTTTTTCACAAAACCATTATACCCTGATTTCCCATTTTCAATGGGTTCAGGGTATAATAAAAAGACGCAATGTTGCTTAGAAATTTATAAAATGTATTTTTATTTTTATTTTTAAAAATTAATTTAGCATTTTCACAGTCACTAAAAATACGCTTCATAAACCCTGAACCAATAGGAGTAATAATTTTTCACTTAATTAAATTTTAGCTGCTATCATATATAATATTTTTTAATATTTTAGTAATTTCAACATAAAAACCGAAAAAAGCATCATTGTATTTGCTTTACTCGGAATATATTTAAATTATTATTCTTGTTTACTTTTCAAATATTTTACCCCTGATATCCAGTTCAGTATATGCCAACTTATATGTAAAAAAAAAGAAATAAAATAAAAATAAAATAAAAACAAAAAAAAAAAACATACAATACTGTGAAAACACCATATTTCCGCTCGCATGAATATATATTTATTAAATGTAAATATAAACCAAACCGCTAAGCCACTTATCTATATTGGCGCATTTTTGGAATTGCTAAAACTTTAAAATGTAAAATATATATTAACGGGACATTGATTTTAGATTTATCGATAATATATTTGCATTTTTGCCTGCCATCTTGTGCACTGCACGTCAAGTAATCCTTTTTAAAACAAATCTCTTCATATAACAAATTTAGTTTACTCTATTACAACAGCATCTAACGTACAGATATATTTTCCCATTTCCCACACGAACTTTTCCCTAGGGGGGAATGTTCGTATGCAAATGCATTGCATGTTAAAGGATTTAGTTTTTGTTATATCCGTTACAGTTGAAATGAGTTTTTTTTTGTGTTGCTGCTGTTATTTGTTTGTTATTTTCATTGTTGCATTGTTATTGTAGTTGTTGTTGCAATTGGTGTAATGAAATTCTAGTCCTGCTTATCCTGAAATGCCAATCTCAGTGGATGATGCGTATTCCAACTTGTCATTACGCTCTGTCTCAGCTAGGCGCTGTCTTTGTCTCCTTTATATGCCTGTCTGCTTATCCAACGTTCTCATTAAACTTTGCTGTCTGCGTGCGTTTATTGTGAAGTTATTATGGATTCGTGAGAAGTTTTGTGCGAGCAACAAAAACAACAAAAATGCGGTAAACTACAAAAAGTGGGGGGATGTTGAGTTGTTGGGGAATATCCGAGTTGACTAGGGGAATACCCTAGTTTTAAATCATTTTCATCAACATCATTATGAAATATCTGACGAGTGGCAGACAGACAAATGCGATAAATATAGACGTACATACTGATCGATATACCAACGTAAAGATAGACATTAGGCAGACATTAGATAGATAGATATATAAAAAATATAAATATATAGATGGGCATACAGATTGATACACTAACACGTAGACAGCCATTAGAAAGATCTATCAAAGATTATTAGATATTATTACTGAGACATAGATAAATATACAGAGCGGCCAAAGTACAGCATAGATGGCTCAGCAGCTCAACTGAGTTTTAGTTCAGCTTTTTAACATTAATCATGATCTTTACCTAACGTTTTTATATCAACCTATTGCTTACATCTGCAAAGAATTTTTAATATCTTTTTGCCAACTTTCAATATGTTTTACGTTCAAGCTTTAATTATCTTCGCCATCTCGTCAAATGGTGCTGACGTGCTGCTTACGCAATCTACAAATCAAATGTGATAAAAATGAGATAAGACTTATCAGATCAAAATTAGTGTAATATAGTAGTGACTATATATCATCTCCAGAAACTATACAAAATTGAATGAACTGCTGTAAAATAGATTAAAATCAATTGAATAGCAAAAAAGGCAGCCATCAATCACGTACTTGTACTTCATTCTGAATGAATTTAATAAACAAAAAATATATAAATGTATATATCTACTTTATCTACATATATGCTTTACTTTACTTTTTAATACAACTATAAGTTAGCTCCACCAAATAGTTTAAATATTCCCACATACATACAATGCAAACCAAATCTGCTTCCATCTTCCATCTTCCATCCTCAACTCACACCCATAGTCGTTTATACCCGCTTTCTGCGAGTATTCCCAGAGAGTCGAGAGCACTAAACAGTGTCCCATTACATTCCGCTTACAGGCGTAGAGCACACGCAGTGCTCACATGTAACAATGGCATGCATGTATGCATGTGTGCTTGTGTGTGTGCGTGCGTGCGTCTTTATATCTCTTTCTCTCTCTATCTCTCTATCTGTGTGTGTGTGTTTGCACAAAAAAGAAATGTTGCAGAGTTTTGTGCGAGTTTTTGCCACAAACTCATAAATTTAATGTTTGGCATTTGCAGCTTTAAGCGCGCGCAGTGCACATCGCTGCGAGGCTGAGTGCTAATGAGGCCAGGACGCAGCAGGACGTATGGCAAGGACAGTGCAGACTTCACTTGCTCGCATGCTCGTTCTCTGGCATTACGCTTACGCAACGTGTGACAGACGTATATGTGTGTGTGTGTGTGTGTGTGTGTAGTAGTTATATATGTGACACGTGATGTTGCCTTTGTGCAAAAATTGAATTTTGCTCCAGCACATAATTCAATTCACACTCATATGCACACCCACACACATACACACACACACACACTCGCACCCTCAATCAAAATGCAGATGTAGCTGATAATGGTGGGGCCACTCGCTGCTTAAACGGCACAAAAGTGTCCCGTTTGGGGACAAGCAAAGATCTTAAATGGCACGTGGAGCGCTTTAGTAGATTGTCAGCGCTGCTGTCCTTCGTTTCGATTTAGCCAACGTATCGGGTTTGTTATGATGTGAAACTCAATGCCTGAATGCCAGCGTGCCTCGCTGCCTGCCTGCCTGACTGCCTGACTGCCAGCCAGCTTGCCTGGGCTGTCAAACTGTTGTCCTGTTCTTCGTTTGCCTGCCGGCCGTATTCCCCCTTGGGCTCTATTCCAATTTCACAATCAATGCCATCAACTGCTTGGCTCCGAGCATTTGCCGTCAAATCGATAAACATTGTGAAATGATATGAGAGCAAATCTGTGTGTGTGTGTGTGTGTGGACTATAGATGTAAAGAAGGAGACGCCAAGCGTACAGTTATCTGATCGTATAGAGAGAAAATCAGGGCAATAGTGAATGTCAGCGTGGGAAAGTAGAAAAACGTAATTTCTGATCGTAAAAGCAATGTTGTAGGGAATGCAAATCTGGGTTTATAGTGAAAGAAAAAACTGAGGACACATTTACATATATGTATAGCAGGGGCTATTAACTATTACAGGAAATCCACGAATTAGTCGTTTAGCCTTCACAAGAATATGTAAGTGAAAAACTAGGAGGAGCAGAGAACGGAATCTGACTTTTAAAAGGTTTAAATGAAAAAGGTCCCAATATGAAAGATCTAAGCAAACGAAGTGCCAGAAAAAAATTTCAGAGCAATTTAGGAAGAGCAGAGAATGGAACAGCAGATCACAAAAAATATTCTAAGCAGAAGAGGCAAGAAGAGATGGAAAACTGAAATGCCAAACGAAGCATGAGAACAGAATATGAGAGCCAACATATTTGACTCAGAGCGATTGCCGTTGTGAGCGAGGAATAAAATAAAGCCGAACTTCACATAGACGAACCAATGGCCTATAAATGGGATACTCAGCTGCTGTTCGGAAGAACCGAAGTATGCCAGAGAGAGAGAGAGAGTCGCTTCAACCGAGTGTGGAACGAACTAGCAGAGAGACGGTGCTGCCGACATGAAGCTCAGCCGACACACAAAAAGAGAAGATGATGGGCATGCTCGGATCATCCGAACGTATGTGCATAAATTAAGGCAGACTACTTTATATTATAAAAGCTTCCCACAGTAGGCTGTGGGCCTTCAAACGAATAACACCTGTGCTCGACAATACAAACTCTAAAATATTTAACACAGAAGCAGAGAGAGAGAGTGACAGACAGAGAGAGGGAGCGGGAGGGTACGCATCGGCACAAAGCACACTCAAAGATCTGACTACTATCAAGCAATATAATAATGCATGGAAGCCCCGAAGACCGTTATGGGAAAAAGTGTCCGATTCAAAACAGTTCGCAAGCTCTGCGATGGAAGGTTGCCAGTACGGCCATCATGCAGGTGGTGCACCGCGAACACGATGGCGTCGAGTTCAAGGTGGTGAACGAGCTGCTGGCGCTGGACGAGGCCTACAGGGGCTACTATAAGGAATGGCTGCGTGAGCTCAGCCTGCAGCGTTTGGCCGCCGCCAAGCTGTTTCCGATATCGCAGGACTTGCGCTTTCAGTCGGACGCCATCTGCCGTGAGCCGCAGCCGCGCAACATCGATGCCGAGGAGGTGTTGATTGGCAAATACCAGCTGCACTATCAGATCATCTTGGGCTCGAACATGACCATGAGCCGCGGCCTCGCCACGATACGCGTCAATCTGCTGTCGCTGCGTCGCGAATACAATAAGCTGGATCAAAGCGAACCGACGCCCTTCATACTGGGCGATGCCTTCCACAAGCCGATCAAGTTCTTTATGGAACTGGCCGAGGAGCTGTTCAACTATTTCTATAGCCACTATTTAAAATTGGATTGCTATTCGCGTCACCTGGATCCGGGCGATATGGACTCGCTGGAGAACTATCAGAATATTCTGCAGCCGCGCGAGGAATTCGGTGACTATCTCATGCACAATCTGAGCTATTGCCAGTGCCTGCGTCCAAGTCCATTGTGCCCGGAACTGATAAAGAGCACAACGAAGAGCAGTGACCTGCTGGACGCCAAACGTCGCGCCCAGCTCAGCCGCTGCCAGCGTCGCGTGGAGAAGATGAAGAAAAAGGAAGAAGTAAAGGGCATCGATTCGCCGAAAATCGAGGCATTCGAACTGAACCACCTCAGCTCACGGCTGGCCCAGCTGCGTGAGTACCAGTCGGTGCGGGGACAGGATCGAACTCTCGTCCAGCGCATGATATACGCACTCAGTCCGTCGCTAATGCCGGCCAATTATATATCGACGTCAGCCTCTGTGGCCAGAACTACGAATATTGTTGGATAAAACAATTGCAGCGATTCAAGTTATATTGGGGTAGGGGCGTGGCAGCTCGAGCTTATCAAATTTCACTTCAGTTTCCTGCACCATTTGTTGATCGCGTGATAAATTTCTATAAAGTGTTCGCATTGCCAGCGCAATCTATCATCATTTGTTCATAAACTGTGGAACGAGTCAAAGGAAATACAAGTTTGCTTCTTCTTCTTCTTCATCATCTGCTTGTTGGCCAGCGGTGCGAATAGCCTTTTAAGTACTTGCCAGGGAAACGCATTATGCTGTTATTAGTTTTATTTGATGTGCTTGAAAACTCTTTTCAAAGTGCATGCGCCAAAGCGTAATGACTGCATCACTTAGCCAAGTTTCTGTTTGTTGGCCAATTTTATAGATGTATATTTTTATTAGTGGCATTTATAGTTGAAAACTAGCAAGGTAAGCTTTTGGTTAACATATTTATAAATTAACTTGGCAGCTCTATTGGTTCTATTGAGTTGAATACATTCTCCGGTTTATTAGCACTTCATGTCTTAGTATTAAAGTTTATTATAGTTCAATTTGCTATTGGATATATATTTCAATTAAAGCCATTATCAAGACTTTTAATGAGGTCTTGACTTATCTTCAGTGATAGGTTGATTGAAAATCGTGCACCTATACAATTTTGTAGTGCTAAGTTATTATTAATTATTATTACTTTCGAGTCGAATTGTATACAGGTATTAAATTGATGCTTGATTTTCGACATTGATGTTTTCATTTAAATTTACATCATTACTCTCGACTTGCCTTGGCTCTTCCAGCTTAAATTTGTTGATAGTCGTAAGATTAAACAGCTCAAAATTTTTTGTTTTGTTTTTACTTTCAATATTTATATTGAACTAACTTAATTAGGGCTTTATTCCAACTTTCTTTTGCCATGCGATGCACAGTTACAATTATCCCTAAAATACATATAATTTTTTCAGTTCGTGACATGAAGCACACCCTAACTAGAGTCGATCAATCAGCCAGAAGTTTCATTTTTGACATACTAATTATCTAGTATTATATAGTAATGTATTATATATATTAGCACGAGTTCATTACTTGAATTCGTGTTTGCATTAGTTTAAATATTCTCCCGACTTTACTTGAATACAAATACTAGGCCAATCCAACCATTGCCATGCAAGCTCTAGTTACCAATTCGTTGCTCAATATTATATATATTTAATTAATGTGTGCATGTTGTTCGCTCGTGACACGAGTTACGCTCACATCTCTAAGGACTACGAGATAAATAAGTGCTCAGCTACGCTTGCTTTGAGGCAAATAAATATTTAAACAAATCAAAGCAAAAGCTAACTAAGCTCTAGATGATCAATCAGCCAGATGTTTCACATTTGCTATATATATATGTATGTATATATATATATATTTGTATGTATAATACTTACCGATCTGGCGCCCGATGTGATGCGCGCGCTCTGGGAGCGTGTGGCGGGCCGGCGGCGCCTGTAGCCGGGCGTTCCGCCCTCGGGCGTGGCACTGCCCGAGGGCATGTTCTGGATGACCGTCTCGATGCTGGCGCCGGTGGCACAGATCGAGGCGCTGCGCGTCTTCTTCTGCATGCGATGATGCATGGGCGAAATGTCGTCCACCATGATGCGACTCGACTCGACGCAACTTGACTCGACTTGTGTGTGGTTTGACTTGGCTGTGGTGCAGTGGTGGTTACTACTTGTTGTGGTGTTTTCGTTTCGTTTCTGTTTAACAACTGCTAAAAGCTATTTGGGTGCTCTTGTTGCGGTTGCGGCTGTCGCTTGCTGCGAGTGCATAATTCGCATGAACTGCAAATAAACAAAAAGAGGAGCAAGCAAAGAATGTCAGAAAACAACACAAAAACTGTGAAACTATTCAAAAAGAGCAGCTATTTTGATAAATTTAGATTTAGACTTGCTTGGCCATGTTGTCAACAGAAATACAGAAAAATAATAATAAAACACGCAAATGAAAGCGAAAATTTGCCGTTGGCTGAGTGAAATGTGTGAGGCAGACGCATGCAGCATAATTTGCTCTGTGATTTTTCATTTCATTTCACTTTTCTTTAATTTTCTCGTTTTTGTACGCCATTAAACATAGTTTCAGTTGTGCCGCCCCTCGCCCCACGCCCCTCGCCGGCTTACCCGCTCTCGCAACCATTCGCCGTATATTTTTAAAACATTTCACATAAACTGGGTCACAATCCGGCGTAAAAATTGACGCACTCAAGTGCCCGCTGAGCGGGGGTAGGGGCGTGTGTGTAAATATTTGAACAAGCATATTTGAAACATGTTTTCCCAACGAAAATGTTTTATTTAATTAACAACTTATGTGAAAATTAATTGAACAACTATTATTGTTTGCAATTGTAATCGAATGTTTGTTCGACCTGAAGGGCTATCAAAATAATATAATAAATATAATTTGATTATAAATTGCAAATGAACTATTTAAATAATAATAATTGGACAAACTTAATTGAATCAATTAGTAATTTAATTGAATATTTAGCTGTGAAATTGAATTGCTTAAAATAAACATTTTTATGGCTCTAGAATTCTTTCGGTTTCTGTATTGCTCTAAAATACTTGGATAGAAATATTAATATATATCACAAATATTTGTATATCATTTAATGGCATTTTTGTGGAGCATGTCGAAATATAAATATTTTATTCTTATTGCTTAAGAATTTTTACAGGGTCCGTGTTTTTGTAAACAAAATAATAAATAAATTCCAAAATATAAATTGATTTTTCGAATTTACCAATTACTGTGCTTTAATTCTATTTGCATTAAAAAAATAATAATNTTGAAGAGCTAGAAAGCTGAAACTTGGTATGTAGGTCCGCGTTGACCACCCAAGATCACGAGCTATGGCGGATATATCTACGCCCATTGGGGGCGTGGCAAATCGGATAAAACTGTATCTCCTAAAGTTGTAAACCTAGAATGCTGAAATTTTGCACGTCAGCTAATGGTATGATTCTATAAAGTCTGAAGATAAATTATAAGTCTACGCCCGTTGGGGGCGTGGCAAATCGGACCTGAAGATATAGTGATTTTTTAAATTCTCCTATATTTTGGACACTATTGATGGCAGAGACCTCAAATTTTGTATATATACTCGGACTGATCACCCAAGACCAAAAAGTTTTGTCGGATATATGTCCGCCCACAGGGGGCGTGGCAAACCGCAAAAGTTTATATCTCCTAAAGTATAATAGCTAGAAGCTTCAAATTTGGATAGTTGAGTTACTGGTAGCCTCCTCTATCGATTCCCCAAAAATAATTTTTACGCCTCTTTAGGGGCGTGGCATATCGAAAAATACCCTGTAATTTTCACATTTTTTTAGGGTAAGCATTCAAACTTTGCAGTTAGGGTAACGTTATCTCTTTCTAAAAACTGACCAAAAATGAGGTGTCTACGCCCAGTTGGGGCGTGGCAAATCGGAAAAACCTGTATATTCTACAGTATTAGAACGAAACTTAACTAYTAAATTGTTGAKGGKATGTGAAKGAGTATTCCGCAGTCGGTAACGCCCGACTGCAACGTTCTTACTTGTTTTATAATTCCGCCTAGAAGAAGTAAATATTAATGATAATTGTATATTAGGAAACTGGATTAAATTGAACGTTCAATAAAAGTATAACTACATATTAAAAAAAAAAAAAAAACTATTTATAATTTAGTATAATAAGAGCTCAAAGCATTCAGCATCATAAACAAAAACAATTCATACAATTCAGCCATCCACAAGAAACCAAAACTTGGATTGGCGCTGGACCAGTAGTACTCAATGCTCATGCTCTATTTTTAATACAATTCTCCAATAAGTGCTTATTTCACCCCTCATGAAAGAGCGCCCCATCTCACTACGTTCGCTTCTCCCTTGTCTTAGTATTGCCAACTCTATCGATTTGCTAATCGAATTCCCGCGTTGTAGTCGAAACTCTTGAGAGACAAAGGCACACCACTGCTGCGTGTGTATGTGTGAGTGTGTGTGAGTTCTCGTATGGTACGCGGCGAGTGCTTAAGTGTGTCTGTTGTTTAATCACGTAGTTTTTTTATGCTATAAATAAATCGTTCTTTGGATATGTTTTGCTTTCTTTTGGCTTTGGTGTTATTTCTCTCGCATCTTACGAAACGGAACTTTCTCGTTTCACGTTTCGCTTGCTACTCGTTTCTTTAAACATTTCACAATTAATGATGTAAATAAACAAATAAAAAATCACAATATACATTGCCGAGAGATTGCCCTTTTATCTAGGCTGCGTTTATCTAACTGCAGTGCCGCAAGTGGCAGACGGCGAAGTGTGGCAACTAGTGGAGGAGGCGTCGCCTGTTGCAAGGCAGCAGAGACGGCGAATGCTGCAAAGTCCTCAGCACTGAGCAGAGCCAAGTCCAGCCTCGCTTAATCGACACTAATTGCCATTTGAGAGGCCCAGCAACCAAATGAAATGAAATCCATTTCTTGGCCAGCTTGAAGCCAATTGCCCCGGGGGAGCACGACGCATGTACCAAAACTAAGATACAAATTGAATTTATTATTGGCTTAGACCCCGGAGGGAGATTTGAAAAGAAGCATATCGAAGATGACTGTAGATGCTTGCCCAGAGTCTTGGGCATCAGCAATCAAAACATATTTGTAATCGCTCTGGGCTGGCACGCTTGCTTTGCTATGCGGTGGTAGCATACGCTGCTGGCAATTTGTTTATAGTCCTGTCTTGTCTGGCAGGAATCGAGCTAACCTGGTCACTGCATAATCGAATTACGCTTCAAAGTCGTTTTGGCCCCCAGGATTTGCAGCTGCCAACTGAAGCAGTCGCTGGCAAACAGTTTAACGAGCTGTCAGCTGCAAAAGTGCCTGCTCTATTGAAAGAGACAGAGGGAGGCAGAACAAGTGAGAGAGAGAGAGAGGGAGATGGAGATGGAGAGAATGGTAGTAAGGATGCATCTAGACATCTAGCTTGCATTATAGTTCTCAGTTCAGCTTCTTAAAACTCAGCATAGTTCAAGTCAAAGCCATTTATAAGTAATTACTTTTATTCATCATATTGCAGTAGCTTAGATAAAGCAGAGAAACGTTATTTTATGCAATTTGCAAGAGCGTGAAAGTACTTATAATACTTAGACAGAATATTTAACTTGATAGATTTTAATGTTTCTCTTTAAAATTAACCCAAAAATTATGCAGTTAGAGTTTAATAAAAAATTAATAAATAAAATATAATTGTTATAGATTTTTGAAGGGGTTTTGTTGTTACACTCAAACCCTACAAAATAAAAATAAAAAAATTAAAATAAAAAAATAAAAGTAAAATAATATTTAAAAAAAAAATAGCAATATCTGATATCAATTTCTCCTCTTCAAATCGCTTTCTATAATTTTTCTAATTTTTTTTTTTTTTTTTTTA